CCCCAAAACCCCAAAACCCCAAAACCCCAAAAAAAACCCCAAAACCCCAAAACCCCAAAACCCCGCAGATAAATGCATTTATTGAATTACTAGCCTATTTAGTCTCATATAGGCTCTGCAGCTCAGGGTCTTTCAGCTTCCATACGGGGTTGACATTGGGGTTGTTACCGCTACCTTTCAGTGCAAGAATACTGGTTAGCTCAACGTAATCGAGTTTTCCAGATCCATCCTTGTCGATTTTATTAAAGAAAGCTTGGATCTCATTCTCTTTAAATACTCATCCGTAAGCTTCTAGAGCTTGACAAAATTCTTCGAAGGAGACTGAATGAGATTCATCCTTGTCGAAATGTCTGAAAACTTTGCCTGCAGTCTTTCCTTCGTCATCAGCTCCGTGGGTTCTCTGTCTCACCTTCTCATAGAGAATGTCCTCCAGCTCAGCGATTCTTTCAGGAGTGACATAATTTTCTTGAGAGAGGCCCCAAGATTCTAGAACAGAGTCGATGAAGTATTCATCCTTCTCTGCTGGGAGGCACGCGCTGACATCTGCGTAATAGTCGAAGAAAGCATCTTTGCTCACAGGCCCATCGTTACATCTGTAGCCAAGACCAACTTCGAACTCTTCTTGGACCTGCTCAGCAGTCTTCTCTCTGAGCTTAACTCTTGGATGGTTAGCAGCTTGGAATGAAGAAGTGAGATAAGAGAAATCTAAAGTTTCTGCCATGTCCTGGTCAAGCAAGTCCCAGACATACTTTACTACAGATTCTCTCTTTTCATTGAATTCTCTTCTAAGGACCTCAAAGAACTCTTGGTAGTGGATCTGTCCATCTCCATTGAGGTCGAACTTTGTGAAGACGACTGTGAGTTCTTGGGTTGTCAGGAACATGCCCATTTTCCTCATGAATAACTCAAATTCTACTTTATCTAGCTGCCCAGAATTGTCTACATCGTATTTCTGGAAATGGCCATAAATACCAGTGATGCAGTCCAGCCCTTTAGAGTGAAGCTGGTATTTAACTTTGTTGACAAGTTCTACGTAGTCAAATTTCCAATCCATTTTGAAATTATATTTTTATTAATTTTATTTCAAATTTTCTTTGATTTAAAGGGGTTTTGGGGTTTTGGGGTTTTGGGGTTTTGGGG